CTTTAGCATTAGTTAATTGGGCAAAGAGCCATTAACTTGAAAGCAAGAAAAACTAAATTAAGCTAGATGGATGGCTGCGGACGTGGCCCGGGCCTGGGCCTGGGCCTGGGCTTGGCTCGAACCAAACCGAGCTCTCTGCCCTTCAAACTGCAGCTCGGAGTTGGCCCATTCCGGGCTATCAGCCAAAAGCCATCGACACTCAAGACAAGAGTATGCATATCGTGGCCGAGAAAGACATCACCACTCACATGAGTCCACAAAGAAACTGTTTAAAATTCCACATACAAATCGTTGCAGTTCGTCGTTGAAAGCGAAATTGAAGTCGAAATCGAGAAATCAAAATTGAAAATGAAAATGGGTTACAACTGCCCAAGGTCGTTGGAGTCGTTGGCTGCAGGAGAAGGAGAGTTTTTTCTGTTTTTGGGAAGCCAATGCGAAAGCGAAGCGAAGACGGTATAATGCACTGCGTGCACTGAGCGAAAAAGGTTTAGAAATTTAATATAATATAAATATGTTATAAAATCTTGTACTTTTCTTACAAGATATTCCCCTTAAATAATTATTATAAACCTCTTTTCCTTGCCTTTTGTAATAAATGTAAAAAAGGGGCGTTGTATGAGATAATGCTTGAATTCTAAAGAAATTTATTAAATAATTCGCTATAATTTTGTCATAAAAAATCAATTTATATTTAATAAAGCCTGGGAATGTGTTCTCAGACTGAGCTGCACCCAAAATGCTTAAGAATGTTGCTTACAACAATGCCTACTTGCTATAAATATAACTAAATTATTTAATTGATAAATAATTAAATGAAATTCTCAATTCTCACTCTTTTCCCAGTGTAAAAAGTCTAACGTAACAGTCTCTCTCCCTCCCTCCCAATGCAGTCTCGAAACAAAAGACTTCAACGAGCCACAAACTTGATGGGCATTATCATTTATGATTTTCTTCATCATCATTTGGTTTTTTTTGTTGTATTTTTGTATTTTTATTCATCAAAGTGCATAGGCGGCTGCAGGGGCCCATATTTAACCCATTGACTTCCCACGAGGCGGCGTGGCAAAGGTGGATTGGAAAATCCAAAAGTGGAAATATCAGGTCTATTTGTTCATATTTATCAGTGATTAAATGTCCGCCAGGTTTTCTGTATTTATTTTGTTTAGAGCTTAGCCTAACAAATATTTGGGCTTTGAGTCGTTCAATGATTGATTGACTTCCTTGGTAGTCTATTAACAAGATCATTGGAGTTACAAATGAAACCTAGTCTAATCTAAATTTCTTTTATTATCAATTTCAACAATTATCGTATTAATACCCCTATTGTTTTCCCCTATTCTTGTCATATTTATTGATATTTCTCTCAGTCAGTCTTAGCCACAAGTTCCTTACATTTGCCCTTTGATTTTCTCTAAACATTATTTGCTTTGTTCGATTTGCAACCCGCTGTTCCCTGTGCACTTGAATGTTTATACAGCATTATTATTTTTCTGCGTTTTTGCCATTGCCTCGTGTTTGTCTGTCAAACATTTGTACATTTGCCGGCAAATAGAGACATCGCGTTATCAGTATGGCTAGTTGGTTATTACCAATCCGGACAAGTGTTGCCATCGTTGATCTTTCCCCGCTCTGATCGTTGGTTTTTTTTAAAGATGTCTTGCGTGGTGTTTGGAAACATCTTCAACCAGTTTGAGTGCAACATACATTCATACAAGTATGTATGCAGCCACTGCAAGGGACTTTTCCACCAGCCATTGAACTAATATACACATGCATTGTACGTATATTTATTTACCTGAGCAAACAAGAACTCTAGGATAGGAAAGACAACCGCAAACGCCGGCAAAAACAATTCGCACGAAAAATGCCAAAAAGCCAAGAGACGGCAACATTTCAATTGGCAACGCAGCCAGAGGCTTGGCCAATTGCCAAACTCAGTCAGTCAGTCAGTCAGTGTGGCAGTCAATGTGGCAGTCACTTCTCGGTTGAACGTTGGCTGTTGCCTCTTGAAAATCGCCACATGCAACTTGCAACTTGGCCTGTTAATGAGACGCCGCCACGTTGCCGTGGTTGGTTCCGCGGAACCGAACTCGCTCAGATGTTGCCACAAGCCACAGCAGACATGGCCAAAATAATGCCCAAAAAGCCTAAAAGGAGCACAGTAAGAAATCAAAGCAATGGAGTGAATTGTACAATTGCAATAAATAAGTATTATATTACTATTAATTCATATTATTGCAGTATTTGCTTCTAGTTCTGTGTCACTAAAATGTGTTCCCGTTTTTTTACAGTGCCTAATAACGACTGTCGCCATGGAGTCCAGAGTCAATTGCCACATTCTTCCTTTTTGCCACCAACTTCAGGTAAGGAAAGAGAATGTTTGTTTTAATAGAAATCAAGTTTCGTTGGGGGAGCTAGGACATATTAAAATACCATCAAAAATTAAATAATATAAAAATTTAACCCAAAAATATACAATTCCTGCATATTTTTAATGCCAATTTAAACAGTTAAGAATATATTTAAAGGCTTTGCTACTCAAGTCTTCCTACAAATAATATTCAAATGAAAAGTTCTATCCCAAGCCTTATAAATAATATCGAAATCGTTGTAATTTTTCTTGCTAGTCCCATGATAACATCTTTATTGATACAAGTATTTAGTGTTTGCTTTGGTTTCTCTATTACTTGTCGTATTTTTGGCAGTGCTCTGGTTCCGCTTGCAATTCGCGCCTGTTGCAAGAACCCGCCGGCAACGGCCGCCTTATGGACCTGGCTATATGTATGTCTCTAGTCCAAATGGCTAAATACATGGCAGATATATAGCATTTGTCTGTGCAGTATATGGCTAACCGAGCTGCAAATTGCCGGCGTCGGGTCGGCTTGAGTAATTTGATATTGGCAACCAGACCAACGACGACCAGAGACCGGACTCACTTTCAATGCATTTGCGTCAGTTTTTCTTCGGTTGCGAATAGCTGCACGGAGCTAAAAACCATATCCCAAATGGATATTTTGAAAATACCATATAATTTGGAATCAGATTTACCAAGGAGATGGTATAAATATGAATGGGGGGGAAAGTGAATAGAAACAAGTATATGATAACACAATTATTATTATTTGCCTGCACAAGTCACACTTTTTAAGACCCCAACATATAAGGAGGGTTTGCTGCCATGGATCATCATCTCGACCAAGAGATGATGATGGACTCTCATCTCCAACGATTCTTTCACGCGTCATGGTCTTATCCATGGAACTCGTTTTCTTCGCCGCCTTCTATCTTCTGTTGTCATCGAAACGAGTTATTGGCCAACAACGTCGCCAGATCGGCTGTAATTATGTTTCCAAACTTATTTAGTTTTTTTGTGAGCTGTTTCTGGCCTCTAATGCGATTGATCAGCAAGAAATTGTTGCGACACGTCCCCTGGAGATTCCCTCCTGGCTCCTCAGGGCCAAATTCTCGGTCTGCTGTTGGATTTGTTTATGATTTACAATAATGTCATTCACCTTTTCGCTCCACCTGAAAAACGGGGGCATCTTTCACCCGACTTCTCGCATATCTCTCACTTTTCATGGCCGTCGCCGCTTTCGATTCTGTCGTGTCATGCCAATTTGCGAAATCCGGCCTCCGTTTTTTTTAGGTAACACAAAAAATATTAAATATTCTAATTCAATAATATAATAATCTTGTTTTTTAAACAAATTAATTGCCTTAAATGTCACCAATATGATCTTACAGATGGCGGGGAATTCGTTTCTTTTGTGCTTGACGTAAGAGAAGATATCTTTTTTTGTTGACATTTAAATTGTATTATTTATTTTCACTTGATTATTCGTTTATTTTTTAATGGCTACGGATTGCTCGGGAGTTTAAAATTTAATTTTTATGGCGAATAACTGTGTTTTAGCTTAAATTCTGGTTTAAATACGAGTATTTATTAATAAATGGGAAGCCTCTTTCGGATGTAATTCTCAATAAAAATTAATAAAGTTACATTTGATATAAATATAAAAATAAATATATATCATTAAATTAATATATAAATATATTAAAGCTTTGAGGAAGTCCCTAAATCATTTGATAAGACTTTCGAGGAATTCGAGTAATTTAATATATTTTATACCCTTGCAAAAGTATTCTGATTTTAGTAAAAATTTTATAAGGGGTTATATCATTAAAATTGTTAAAAAATGGCAAAATTTAAAATATTAAACTGAGTATGCACGATTTTTAACCTTATAAAAATTAGTACAGGAAAGTTTTCCGAATAGAATTTAATGCATTTTTGGCTTAGTTATGAGTTTTTCAAGTTTTGATTTGTAAAAAAATACTTAAACGAGAACTTTTAATAAAAATTCAGTAATTAATTGATAAGAATTTCCTTTCTCTAAAATATAATGACAATCATACAGGTTTTTTGTTAGTTATTTGTGTATATTGTATTATTTATATAAGGTTTTTGTTTGTATATTGTTAAATTACTATCATAAAGATATGGAATTTAGATAAAACCAAAAGAGTCTCCGATTTGCCAGATCCATTTGTCATCGCCCAATTAACTCTGGCTTTAAGCATGATTTTAATGGCGACTAAAAACCATATGGATAGTGAAACAATTATCAGATAACTGTGGGAGCCATAGATTGGGAATAAAATTCACTCCCGAGGCTGCAGGTGATCGGATCACCTGGCATTTTTCCCCTGCATTCTATGTTCTCAAAACAAAACACCAAACTCCAGCTCCTATGATCGTAGATCGAGCGGCTTCCCAGCTTGAACAAATTCGGCTTGCATTTGCTTTTGAAATTCGCTCGCAGATCGCCGAGCTCCGATCGCCGAGCTCCGATCCCAAGCTGAACCGAGCCGCAGAACCGCCGAACCACCGAACCACCGAACCGCTGAGCCACCGAACCGCTGAGCCACCGTGGAGCTTAGCTGGGCTGAGCGGTCTTGGCATGCTCGGCGGCATTTGGACAATCAGTTGTCGTCGAATGCTTCGTCTGGGCGGTCGCTAGATCCAATCCGCCTCGATTTATTTTTCGGGAATATTCAAGAGAAACTAATTATATATATCGGCTATATATATATATAGATATTACCCTATTGCTCCTTCGTCGGCTTAATTTTTTGTTGGCGTGTTCAACGTGTGTCTGCCTGTGATTATGTGCCAGGGTGTTAGCGGAGGAAGGAAGTAATCGAAAAATATCCCTCCAAGCTGTGGCCATGGCCAGCATCCTGTTCCCTCTGCTGCTCCTCCTCGCCGTGGCCTCCAGCTGCCTCGATGCCCTCGATGGTGGCGCTGGTGGTGGCGGTGTCCCCGTGCCGGACACCTGCTCCCTGAAGGATAATTGTAATCTGGGCGACAATCTGCTCACTCGATCGGGTCAGGGATCCGAGCCCGGCGATGTGGCCGGGGACAAGCTGGAGAGCAAGATCGCCTCGATCTTCGAGGACAAGGTGAACTATAGTCTGAAGCTCTTCGCCGACGAGGCCACCACCACGATCCTGGAGTACCAGACGGCCAATCTCAGTGAGCTGCATGCGGTGCCCGGAAACTTTACGCTCCACCAGCTCCATCAGCTGGAGGCCGCCAACGCCCCCGAAGACGATCAAATTGAGGAGGACGAAAAGGGTGAGCTTTGGGGGTCTGAAATTGTTCGATTTCTATATATTCTTTTACCATTTTTGTGCATTAATTAGTGATTATTTGGTTCACTTCTTGTTTGTTTAATTTATTCAACAATGAAGATTTATTTTCAAGAAAATAATATTGTGATTGTGATTTATTCATAACAATTCGTGCAATTTGTGATTGATTTATTTGCTTTATATTTTGCCAGTTTATTTTCTGTTTAATAAATGTTTTAAATATTTAATTAACTTAAATTTGGGGAAAAAAAAGCTATAAAATTTCTTTAAATTAATTTGGGGAGACAGGGGAGTTCTCTGCTTTGAAGTTAGGACATTTAACTTTGATTAAGCCAGGAAGTATATACCCTTTTGCAGGGTATTATAATTTCATTCAGATGCTTGAAACGCAGTGAAAAAGTCATTTCAGACTCTATAAATCATATATATTTTTGATCAGGAACAACAGGCGAATCGATCTGGGCATGTACGGAAGAAAAATAATTTTTCAAAAAATGTGTCAAATTTTTAAAATTTTATAAGGGGTTACATCGTTAAAATTGTCCAAATTTGACTAAAATTGTATTTTTATACTGAATATGCAGAGTTGTTAACCCTTTAAAAACTAGCACAGAAATGGTTTCCGAATTAAAATTAACGCATTTTTGGCCAAGTTATGCTATTTGAAAAACTTTGATTTACCCAAAAAAAAATTTGCACATAAAAATATGAATATAATATAGTTAAAATAAAGAGGTTTTCTTTGAAGTGATTGTCACAAGTCATACACATTTAGATTTGCAATCAATATCACAATCACTAAACAATTAAATATTAGAAACATTAATGTTTGGTCGTATTTTTAATAAATCCTATACATATGTTATATTCTTTTTTATTTTATCTTTTATTTTCCCTATATTTTCTCTACATTTCCTATATACTTAACAATAGTGTTAGCCCCCTTTTGATACCCCTTTTTTTGGATGGCTTAATACTATCATAATTTCGCTTTCGGATCGATCGTTGGCCACTTTCTCACGCCGCCCACATCGAGGCCTTGGGCATTTCGGCCAAAAGCGATTTCTGCAATTGTACTCGTTGTGTGTAATGGATAATGTACGGCGGTTAATGTTAACGACACTCGGACACTTGGCTTGAAAAAGCGGATTGTTGCATAAGAGGCGCGTGCGTCAAATGAAATCAATTGCTGGATGGCATATTTGATTAAATTATATGCTTGCTTTTTGCTTTTCTTTGACCATTTTGACCCCATTTGAGCCAAGAACTGACGCATCTCTGGCTCACTTCCGGCTGCCCATCCCTGAAGTTGGATCTTTATATTGTATATATGTACATATATCTATATTGAATCTGCTTATCTAATCCCCTGTCTCGCCTTTTGGTTGCGCACTTATTCTTGTTAAAAGGTTTGGCCTTGTTGGCACTTTTTATTCTCTTTTCCGGTGCCAATATTTGCAGTACAAGTTAGGGCGTTGAGGATGATTCGGGGAAAACCCCCAGACATATTCATATATATATATAAAGTATATATATCCAGACCTCGTCAAGGCAAAGTGCGAAGTCTCACGTAAACGAGACAATTTTTCGTTGATTTAATTACCATTTTTTTGACTGCTCTGCACGTAAGCGAATGGCATTTAGTCCATTTATATTGCAGGTTTAATGCACAAAATTTGTTTGGAATTACATGGGTTTTTTTAAACTCATCTTAACTCTTTTGAACTCTTGGCTTTTATTTAAGAAGGTTTTCTTGTGCAGGTTTTGTGTATAAAGTACTGTAAAAGTATTATTACTCATTAGATAGTCTCCTGCAGTCGCTTGGCGTTGAATATCGCATCTTTCATGGCTAATTTTTGCAGCTCATAAAATTCGCAACGCTGCGCCAACACACTTTTACAAGAGTACTCAAAAATATATATATTTTATATGTATAAATATAAACATTTCTAAGTACCTAATGCCCAATGAAGATGTACCACTCGCTCCTGCCCAGGCCCAGCCCATACCGGACTTTAAGTGCTTTGGTTTTTTGCTTACATTTTCTGTATTTGGTTTCTTTTGATTTTTTTGTGACTCGTTTCGTTTGTAATTGATCTGCGCCATCCTCCTCATCCACTCCATGCCAATTGTCAATTGTCAATTGCCAGAAATGAAGTGTATAAAGAAAAACACTCATGATATCCAATTGCTAATGGTTAAATGGAGGCGACGAGCGGAGGTTACCGCCAATGGAATGGAACCCGAGATATCTAGCCCCATTGAGATAACAAGAACTCGCATAACGGTGGCAAATTGGCAACGAATAACAAGCTTTAACCCCTTGGTGCTGAGCAGCTAAGCCAAGTTGTCAATTGCTTGGCTAAATATTGGCTTTAAAGTCGACTTAACTTGGCTGCTCTTGCGGTACAGAGGGAGAAATTACGTATACGTAGGGTGGGACAAGTCGGAGCTAGAGTTCTCTTCACTCTTCCTAATTCCATAAATAAATACCTTGGGGATTACCAATAATATGTTTAATTTACCTATACGGTTGTGTTAGTTTTTAATGAATTTAAGATTAATTTAATTGCATATGTTTATGGTAATATATCGAATTAATTTTTACTCTCAGTGTAAGCTATGCAAACAAACTTATAACCGAAGTCGATCGCGATCGCATTGCAGTAGCTTGGCCAAATGTTTGCCAGAACAAAGTGACAAGTGCTGAACGAATTGCTGAAACGTTTGCTAGTCTAAGTAAATACAAACACAACTGTATATGAATCAAGAAAAATATATAGATAAGTAGATATATATGTAGATATATACATTAAAAAGATGAGCCGCCTCTTCTCTAATTGGCAAAATGAAATCATTTTTTGGCAAACAAGACCGTGTGCATTTTGCGTTCTCATCATTGCGATTCATAATCGAACCGAGCTTTTTGAGTCATGGCATTTAAGGCCCCTTCATTCACTGTTGAAGCGATTCTCGAACCAAAAACCCGATTCGATAACTAGAACGCTCTTGGCCAATCCAAAAGCACCGCCAAGGATTGCGCGAATTTTCCAATTTTCGATTTTTCGGGCCAGGAATTGGCCAACACTCGCGACTCGCAGCAGCTGTTGGCCGTTCGGCTTTCGGTTTCTGTGCTCAGAGTTAGCAGGTTGCCCAAGTGGGTCAGAGACAAGTACAAATACGAGCACGAAGCACTCGGCTAATTAAGCCGCCAGCTACTACCAACTACTACTACCAACTAGCAGCTGGCCACCATTGCTATTGCCACCGGCCTGCTCCGGAATGGGGTTCTTGTTTTTGCATAAATCACTCAGCTCAGCACTTTCTGGCAACTGCTTAGCATCTGGCATCTGGCCAAGGTACAATGGGATCGAAATGTTTATTGTTTTAACTGAAATTCAATTTATAAACATGTTGTTAAGATGCTGCTGTTTTTGATTCAATTTAGAGCTGTCGAAAATGTGTAAATTATAGATTATAGATTTCTTAAGAAGGCATTAAATAGTTTACACAGATTAAATAGTTTTGTTTACACATACTTCTTGAGTGTTTTTATTTGATTTTACTTATTTCTTAATTTCCTCAAACCACTGTGCATTTTCTGTACATTTTATTGCCTGCCTCTGATTGATGGGGCAATGGCTTTAGCTTTTCATTACATCGTGTCGCAGGAAATTCATTTGTTTTCGGTTTCAATAAGTTATATAAAGATTTTTATGTTATTTTCTGTAGGATATCATATAAAGATTTTATGCTCCTGCTGGGTTTAATAATCATTTCCGACCCTATAAACCATATATATTATTGATCAGCATTTTCGATCTAGCTTTGTCTCGCGGAAATTTAATTTCTTCCAAAATTTCGAAATTTTACAAGGGGTAAAAATTTTAAATTTAAATGAGTACGCAGATTTGTTAGCCGAATAAAAACTAGCATTGGAACGCTTTTCGAATCGAAATTAATGCATTTTTGTCTTAGTTATGATAATTTGCATAATTCTTGTTTATGTTATTTTCTGTCGGATTTTATATAAAGTTTTTATATATTTTTCTCAGTCTTCTCTAAGGCAATCAAATGTCCATTCCCTGAACATTTAATGGTCTTTGTATCCCGCTTCCACTTTTTATGGTTTACTAAAAAGAGTTTGCATAATAAGTGGATGGAGTTTAATAGGTCCTCTTTTATATGATTGCGAAGTACTCTTTGGTTTTTGGGTAAACCCGAAGAACATGGTACATCTTGGACCCAAACACACTTGAATTTATTGCTAAATTAGTGACTTTTTTATTATTTCTAGCTACGAACAGCATCTCTGCTTAGTTTAGAGTATGATTTATCAGTGAACACCTTGCTTTTGGTATTTATTTTAGCCATAAATTCGTTTTAAGCTTTAAGCTTTCGACTCTATTTTAGCCGTAAATTCGCTTAACTTTAAGCCCGAACAATGGGCAGTGGCTCAAGGAATTTCGACAGTTACAAAATGTATTCTAGAACTCCGTTGTGTCATTCTATCAATGTCCCAAGATCTTCATAATTTGCGATGCTAATGAGCGAGGCGGCTTCGTTTCGCACGGCTGCCATTGTTGGTTGGACACACATCTTCATGCCGCGACTGACAATTGATCGGGGAGCCGGAGAACTCCCAATTCCCAATTCCCAATCCTCAGTTCTCGATACTACACACCCGATGCTTTTCCAAATTTAGTGGGCACACGTATGGAAATATATATGTATATAGTATATATAGAATATGACGACAGGTTTGCCGCATTCCATAGTCAGATCTCGTCGCACTCTGACGCATTTTAGCACTTTTTTCCACCGCCTCCTCCGGCTCCTCCTCACAAGGAAAGACGGATGCAGGCGGCTCAGACTCTGGCTGATGGATCGATGTTCGACGGGTGAACGAGATCGGCATTTGAAATGAGGGACAGAAGTACTAAAACCCCAGCATGCCGCCACAATGGAAATGTTAATCAGAAGCAAAGCACCGCTCCCGGCATGCTGATGATGTGGCCACTCCATGTGGGGACTTCTCTGGTGCTTTTTCGAGCCTGAAACTGGAACTCTCAGACATTGCCGGGCATCGCCATCTTGGTCGGGATGGCGCCTCATAATCCCCCAGCGGGCACCAAGCCTCCTCACTCATTCACTTCCTGTTTGCTGCGAGAGCCACGTGCCCCACGGGGCCTGACCTTGGCCAATTTTGAAGAGCATTTGTATTTATACCTTACAGATACATATGTATCTATAAGAAATGTTTAGAGAGGACAGAGAGAGGCTTAAATAATTATTATCAAAAATATTGATTGTAATATTTACAAGTTCTTAATAGTTTTTAAAACCATGTTTATTGCTTATTATAGATTACCTATAGATTACCATTTTGGTTGCAAATCGAAATATATATCATTGCCTAATTGTCTTTCATTTCAAGGAAACCTAAAATATGTGTTTTCTAATTTAATAATATTAAGGTAATATATTTTATTATTTTTAATTTCAATTTGAAAAGCATTTCTGTGCTAGTTTTTTTTAGGCGTACTCATTTTTTAATTTTTTAAAATTAAAGTTTGAAGAACTTATACCTAAGCCACAAAAGTATTAATTTTAATTCGGAAATTTGTTCTATGTCAGTTTTCATTAGAATAATAAGTCTCCATAGCCCCCCCGACTGGCTTTTTTTAATCGGATTGATTCTTAAATTTCACAATTTCACGCTTTTGGAATACCAGGCAAACAGAAACGGAAAGAGATGGCAGCAATCCAGCAACAAAAGTGATTTACACGGCAAGGGTATTGAGATAACGCCAAACTATAACGGAGCTTTTCAGCATTCCAAATCCTAATGGCCGCCCTTTGTTTACATCTGATTAGACCAATCAGAGACAATCTTCAAGTTCATCTCTTCTAAGATCCGTTAATTTAAGACTTAAATCAGCGGGGTAGCCGCTTGCTCAATTTAAAATAAAGAAATATGATATAATATTATCTTTAAAATATATAGACCATTTCAGAGATTAATTTTCCACAGGAAATAATTTCGATTTATACTTAGTTTATGATTAAACTTATAAATACCATACAATTTAAAAAATGAATTTTCTCTCTCTCTCTTCAACTTCATAATATCCTGAAATTTCGAATAAATTTTTAGGCATCATAAAAATTAATCTCTATTGATAACCAGAAGCTTTAATTTTAAGTAATTTTCTTTGGTGACTTAACAATTATGATATATTTGATACACTTCATTGATTACCGATCTCTGTTAATATTTGCTGATCACGGGTTAGCGTTTGCTTGTAAATACCTCAAATTTTGTCTACGACTCAAAAGCTTTTTTTGCCTTTTGGCGGCTTGCAAGTGAATCACTAGGTATTAGCCACAAATGCTGTATGGCTTTAGGCCAGTTAAATAATTGGATTTTCCATTGAAAATCAAGCATATCATATGGCAACTTCCTTTTTATAAGTTTTGCTATGATTTTCCGATACAATGCAATTATTTGAAAAGTGCAGCATTCGGTGGAAATGACCACTATTATGTTATAACCAATAAAGTATTGTCCAAATTGGGGCTATATGATACGGTGTAATTTATTTAAATGCCAATTGAAAATTGAACCCAGTAAATGGTTTTGATATTTCACATTTATTATTTAATAAATTATAATTATGTAATGCAATGTTTTTTATATATATTTTTTTGAATTCCAGTCTATCTGTACAACATTGGCAGACGCTTTCTGGCCATAACCCAGCCCTTCGACCCGGCCAGAAATCCGGATGCCTCTTCGCTGTGCCGCCGACAGATGCGCCAATATCTGGACGCCTTGGACAACTTTGATTTGTGGGCACTGCGAAGTGAGTACAATAAACAAACAGAAAACAAATTAAAACAATCCAAAACTAAGCAAAAAATAGCACCGGGAGGGGGTTTTCGTCAAGGCCGTGCCGTGACAGTAAACAAATTAGACAGAAGAGCAGAGTGGCTGCAAAAAGAAGGCGGCATCGCCGGTTCTAGTTCTGCAAGTGGATAATAATAGTTGGTCTTGGACCTACTGGATGGATACCTGGCTCATTGGCTCATTGGCTCAGTGCTCGGATACTTAGAACCAGTCGGGGGACGTTCAGCTCGAATTCGAGTCATTGCCAACTGGCCTCTGCCGGCGAGCAGTATGACCGCCAGACGAGTCGACATAAATCGAAAGACCCCAAAGTCATCGGTGCCTTAAAATCGTAACAGTTGCGCTCAAAATAGTAGATGCAAATTCATTTACTACTGAAAACTTTACTTTAAATACTTACAACATAATTCTATATTTTTAAAAGCTTAATATCTAAAGTAAATCCATTCGAAGCAATAGTAAAAGTAGGTAAAGAGTACTTGTAAAAATTAATACTTAAAGAGCAATTAAAGTGACATTGTAAAACCTTAAAAATATTATTTGAAAAGTACATATTTTAATGATTCTGCGGATTTTAAAATAACAAGAAATTCATTTCTAAAATTGGAATACAAAAAAACATTAGAAAATGCCTAATAATTTATGATTACTTTCTTATAAAAAATCGTATAGAAAATATATGAAAATTTTGCAAAATTAAAAGATATATGTATTTTAGAAGTAGGAAATATGAAATCTCATATATCTCAAATAATGTAAAACACTTGCTATTATGTCCGACACTGTACAATTGCAGCTGTGTGTGCGGCAAAGTGAAGGCCAACCGTCGAACTTTACCCACATTCGCACACACACTCGCACACACACACACACATGGTTGTGGCATTGCCAATTGCATCTGGTGAATTTTTTTCTTGCCAAGAGCAGCAAAATTGCAAACATCGAGCGAAAATAGCGATTGCAAAAGGCAGTGATTCCACGCGAACTTGACACAAAAGACCGCAACGTCGACTGCGGCTCAGAATCAGAACGAGACACAAAACGAGTTGCGATCACAGTCAAGGTCACCACCCCGCCGCCCCACACACACACACACACACACACATGGGGCACACACCTTCAAACGGGGAGACCCGAAAGCGAAACGTGAATGGATCACAATTTTAAGAATATATATCAATACAAATATCTAATTCTTGATTAAAATGTTAACTAATAGCTCCTTTTGTTATAACTATTCTTAAATATTTTGATCTACACTTAAGGCTATGTGAAAATGATAACTGAAGAGGTGGAACAGCTCCTTAACTTTTAAATAGTTGTAACGTACAATTAAATATATATTAAAAATATCTCCATATTAAATATAATTCTTATTAAAGTAAAAGCGTTGCCATAGCTCTACCTTTAATTGTTTTCATTTAACTTTCGAAGCTCTCAAGAAAGTCTTATAATCATGTTTATTCCGACTAACTTTAATTTATTGAAAAGAACATCAGATTACTCATTTCACCAACTAAACGAATAACATTGAGAATAAAGTATTAACGAGGAACAATAATAATTAAAACGATTAGAAAGCTACGGAAATAGTGAAATTACAATTCAGAAAAGTGTCGATTGAGTAAAATAAATAATCAAATAACTTTATACCATCCATTATTAATATATTTCTAATTTGTATTCCCTTTTATTTTCCAGTGCACGATGCTAGTGGCAAGTTAAACTCTGGCATTTTGAATGGCAACATCAATCAGCCCGGCGACTTTGATCAGTGCCTGGGCATTCAGCAGCGGATGAAGGCGAATCAGGAAGAGGATAACAACCAGGATCAGGATCAGGGTCAAGAGGACTCGATAATCCGCGGCCAGTACTGTCTGGCCTATGCCCAGCCAGTCCTGCCCCACAAATCGAAGCGCCTGCAGAGCTTCTTCAAGCTCATCCAATCCCATGGACCCTTCAAGAGCGAGTTCAATGACGTGAGTATAGAGTATATGTTAATTCTGTGCGTCCCTGAACCTCCTCCGCTGTGCCTTTTAAAATCTGGAGATTATAATGGATGGGGCTCTATATGAATGAATCATTTAATTTCACATAAAGGCTTTCAACTTGATTGCTTTTAATGCGTTTTATGGGGTCTTTAGGCTTTTAGGATAATTTTTATTTATTTCTAGCTTAAACAATATTTGTAGAATTTTTTCAGCTACATATATATTACTCTAATTAGCTTTTTTGTCTCTGTATATTAATATGAATTTCAGCTAACCTTATTAAATGTTGATATCTTTTTTTTACGGTTGTTAAACTACATTTGCGGAAATCAGATGAAAATTTGCAGTTGAAATTTGTGTTTGGTGCAGAAAACTCCTCACATATATTACACAATTTGTACAATTTGATACTTTTCAAGTATAAATCAGGCGCTCTGGCATATTATTAGTTTTTACGCATGTGAAAGTTAAATGTCGGCCAAATAGATTGATTAACATTTGGCCGCTAAATCGCTTGACTTCGACATTGAACTTGAGCCAAGACGAAAAGCGCCGCGCAGCAATCGAAGGCGATAGATGGCCATAAAATGCAAATCGAAGCCCCGAGAGAGCTTCGAGCCGAGCTCCGGCCACTGAACCCAAAATGTGGACGGGTTTCTCACTCGATTCTCTATAGATCTCCTCCTCCTCCTCCGCCTCATCCTCCTCCAAATCTTGGGGAGAATCGATACCCACAGAAAGCATCCATCCCCATAAAGTCGTTATTGGTGATTTATATCACTCATACGTATCCGAGTTGTATTAATTTATGGGAAAATATCAAAGAATGAAATACCTAACCGGTACCGGTTTTAAACTATACAGAATATCCGACTTGTAAATATAAAATATACTAAAATAAAGGTTCGTTTTATTAGCTATAAACTGAATCTATGATCTCTTTCAAATCTATTATTTCTAACTAATTATAAAACATATTTAAAATTGCATATGATCTAGTTTTGAATAGGTTAATAAAACTGTATACATCAAAATTTAAAAATCTCATACCTAAGCCAAAAACGCAGAAATTTCAATTTGGAAAACGCTTTTATGTTAATTTTTAGCAGGTTAACAAAACTGCATACTCCGTTTAAAATGTGAATTTTTGGCCGATTTTTGCAAATTTTCATGATGTAACCCCTTTCCTTTTTTCCGAAAAATGGGAAATTTCTGAAAAAAATTTTTTCGGCCGGATAAAGCTAGAAAGAAAGGCCTGTAGATGCTGATCAAGAATATATATGATTTATGGGGTCGGAAATGGCTCCTTCACTTATTTTTAAGCTTCTGACTGAAGGTCCATTACCATTTTTATACCGATATTAACAATATTTTTAAATGAATTTTTTCGACAAATCAAAATTTAAAAATCGCATAACTCAGCCAAAAACGCAATAATTTTAATTCGGAAAGCGGCAGTATGTTAATTTTTAGCAGGTTAACAAAACTGCATACTCAATTTAAAATGTGAATTTTTGGCCGATTTTTGCAAATTTTCATGATGTAACCCCTTACCTTTTTTCCGAAAAATGGGAAATTTCTGAAAAAAAATTTTTTCGGCCGGATAAAGCTAGAAAGAAAGGCCTGTAGATGCTGATCAAGAATATATATGATTTATGGGGTCGGAAATGGCTCCTTCACTTATTTTAAGCTTCTGACTGAAGGTCCATTACCATTTTTATACCGATATTAACAATATTTTTATATGAATTTTTTCGACAAATCAAAATTTAAAAATCTCATAACTCAGCCAAAACGCATTAATTCAATTCGGAAAGCGGCAGTATGTTAACTTTTAGCAGGTTAACAAAACTGCATACTCAATTTAAAATGTGAATTTTTGGCCGATTTTTGCAAATTTTCATGATGTAACCCCTTTCCTTTTTCCGAAAAATGGGAAATTTCTGAAAAAAAATTTTTCGGCCGGATAAAGCTAGAAAGAAAGGCCTGTAGATGCTGATCAAGAATATATATGATTTATGGGGTCGGAAATGGCTCCTTCACTTATTTTAAGCTTCTGACTGAAGGTCCATTACCATTTTATACCGATATTAACAATATTTTTATATGAATTTTTCGACAAATCAAAATTTAAAAATCTCATAACTCAGCCAAAAACGCATTAATTTCAATTCGGAAAGCGGCAGTATGTTAATTTTTAGCAGGTTAACAAAACTGCATACTCCATTTAAAATGTGAATTTTTGGCCGATTTTTGCAAATTTTCATGATGTAACCCCTTTCCTTTTTTCCGAAAAATGGAAATTTCTGAAAAAAATTTTTCGGCCGGATAAAGCTAGAAAGAAAGGCCTGTAGATGCTGATCAAGAATATATATGATTTATAGGGTCGGAAATGACTCCTTCAAGTTCTTTAAGCTTCTGACTGAAGGTCCATTACCATTTTTAACCGATATTAACAATATTTTATATGAAATTTTCGACAAATCAAAATTTAAAAATCTCATAACTCAGCCAAAAACGCATTAATTTCAATTCGGAAAGCGGCAGTATGTTAACTTTTAGCAGGTTAACAAAACTGCATACTCAATTTAAAATGTGAATTTTTGGCCGATTTTTGCAAATTTTCATGATGTAACCCCTTTCCTTTTTTCCGAAAAATGGGAAATTTCTGAAAAAAATTTTTTCGGCCGGATAAAGCTAGAAAGAAAGGCCTGTAGATGCTGATCAAGAATATATATGATTTATAGGGTCGGAAATGACTCCTTCAAGTTCTTTTAAGCTTCTGACTGAAGGTCCATTACCATTTTATACCGATATTAACAATATTTTTATATGAATTTTTTCGACAAATCAAAATTTAAAAATCTCATAACTCAGCCAAAAACGCATTAATTTCAATTCGGAAAGCGGCAGTATGTTAATTTTTAGCAGGTTAACAAACTGCATACTCCATTTAAAATGTGAATTTTTGGCCGATTTTTGCAAATTTTCATGATGTAACCCTTTCCTTTTTCCGAAAAATGGGAAATTTCTGAAAAAAAATTTTTTCGGCCGGATAAAGCTAGAAAGAAAGGCCTGTAGATGCTGATCAAGAATATATATGATTTATGGGGTCGGAAATGGCTCCTTCACTTATTTTTAAGCTTCTGACTGAAGGTCCATTACCATTTTTATACCGATATTAACAATATTTTTATATGAATTTTTCGACAAATCAAAATTTAAAAATCTCATAACTCAGCCAAAAACGCATTAATTTCAATTCGGAAAGCGGCAGTATGTTAATTTTTAGCAGGTTAACAAAACTGCATACTCCATTTAAAATGTGAATTTTTGGCCGATTTTTGCAAATTTTCATGATGTAACCCCTTTCCTTTTTTCCGAAAATGGGAAATTTCTGAAAAAAATTTTTTCGGCCGGATAAAGCTAGAAAGAAAGGCCTGTAGATGCTGATCAAGAATATATATGATTTATAGGGTCGGAAATGACTCCTTCAAGTTCTTTTAAGCTTCTGACTGAAGGTCCATTACCATTTTTAACCGATATTAACAATATTTTTATATGAAATTTTTCGACAAATCAAAATTTAAAAATCTCATAACTCAGCCAAAAACGCATTAATTTCAATTCGGAAAGCGGCAGTATGTTAACTTTTAGCAGGTTAACAAAACTGCATACTCAATTTAAAATGTGAATTTTTGGCCGATTTTGCAAATTTTCATGATGTAACCCCTTTCCTTTTTTCCGAAAAATGGGAAATTTCTGAAAAAAAATTTTTTCGGCCGGATAAAGCTAGAAAGAAAGGCCTGTAGATGCTGATCAAGAATATATATGATTTATAGGGTCGGAAATGACTCCTTCAAGTTCTTTTAAGCTTCTGACTGAAGGTCCATTACCATTTTTATACCGATATTAACAATATTTTTATATGAATTTTTTCGACAAATCAAAATTTAAAAATCTCATAACTCAGCCAAAAACGCATTAATTTCAATTCGGAAAGCGGCAGTATGTTAATTTTTAGCAGGTTAACAAAACTGCATACTCCATTTAAAATGTGAATTTTTGGCCGATTTTTGCAAATTTTCATGATGTAACCCCTTTCCTTTTTCCGAAAAATGGGAAATTTCTGAAAAAAATTTTTTCGGCCGGATAAAGCTAGAAAGAAAGGCCTGTAGATGCTGATCAGAATATATATGATTTATGGGTCGGAAATGGCTCCTTCACTTATTTTAAGCTTCTGACTGAAGGTCCATTACCATTTTTATACCGATATTAACAATATTTTTAAATGATTTTTTCGACAAATCAAAATTTAAAAATCTCATAACTCAGCCAAAAACGCATTAATTTCAATTCGGAAAGCGGCAGTATGTTAATTTTTAGCAGGTTAACAAAACTGCATACTCAATTTAAAATGTGAATTTTTGGCAGATTTTTGCAAATTTTCATGATGTAACCCTTTCCTTTTTTCCGAAAATGGGAAATTTCTGAAAAAATTTTTCGGCCGGATAAAGCTAGAAAGAAAGGCCTGTAGATGCTGATCAAGAATATATATGATTTATGGGGTCGGAAATGGCTCCTTCACTTATTTTTAAGCTTCTGACTGAAGGTCCATTACCATTTTATACCGATATTAACAATATTTTTAATGAATTTTTCGACAAATCAAAATTTAAAAATCTCATAACTCAGCCAAAAACGCAATCATTTTAATTCGGAAAGCGGCAGTATGTTAATTTTTAGCAGGTTAACAAAACTGCATACTCAATTTAAAATGTGAATTTTGGCAGATTTTTGCAAATTTTCATGATGTAACCCCTTTCCTTTTTTCCGAAAAATGGGAAATTTCTGAAAAAATTTTTTTCGGCCGGATAAAGCTAGAAAGAAAGGCCTGTAGATGCTGATCAAGAATATATATGATTTATGGGGTCGGAAATGGCTCCTTCACTTATTTTTAAGCTTCTGACTGAAGGTCCATTACCATT